TAATCCCTGGTCCTTCCACATTTTTCAGTTTTCCTCTCACCCAATGTTAGCAGCTTCTGTGTATTGTTGCTGTGGCTGCAAGGTAAACTGATTCCCTAGTTACCATAGAAATAGGCTAGAATTGCATTGCAGGTTCAAGAATATTGTTAGGATGTTTAATAGCAAGTTAGTCCTTTTCCCCCCCCCACTGGTAGATATTATACAGGTAGTTTATTGTTTATTGCTTATTTATTGGTTCAATTTTTATATGCCGCCCTTCTCCGGAGACTCAGGGCAGCTTACAATGCGTTAAGCAATAGCCTTCATACTTTTGTATATACCTGCTTAGTAGGGCTTTCGGCCCCCCCAAGCAGTGTTCTTTTTTCAAAGAAAAAGATTGTCCCCACAATCCGGGTCCTCATTTTACCTACCTCGAAAGGATGGAAGGCTGAGTCAACCTTGAGCCTGGTGAGATTGGAACTTGCAGTAATTGCAGGCAGCTGGTGCTACTTAATAGCACTTTAGTCTGCTGCGCCACCAAGGCTCTTCCTTGGCTCTTACAAGGAACTACTACAGGTAGTTCTCAACTTACGACCACAATTGAACCCGAAATTTCTCGTTACATGAGATATTTTTTAAGTGAGTTTTGCCCCATTTTACGACATCTCTTGCCACAGTGGTTAAATGAACCACTGCAGTTGATAAATTAGCAAAACAACGAGAAACCCTTTTCAGAAGGAGTTAAGTGAATCTGGCTTCTACATTGATTTTGTCATAAGGTCACCAATGGGGATCACATGATCTTGGGACACAGTAACGATTGTAAATATGAACCAGTTGCCAAGCATTTTAATTTTGATCACTCGATCATGGGGATGCTACAAAGGTCGTTAAGTATGAAAAATGGTCATGTTACTTTTTTTCAGTGCCATTGTAACTTTGAGCGGTCACTAAATGAACTGTTGTAAGTTGAGGACTACTTATAATGGCCTTGTCACTGTCTTCTGGAACCTTGGTTCTTTGTACCCCAGAGGATTAACAGCGGCTGAGCTTCCAACTCAGGTAGGAATATTCTCCCCTCCTTTAAAGTGCCAGTCTGATCTACTGAGGAGGTCTCCAATATTGTGCAAAACAACGAGAAGCCCTTTTCAGAAGGAGTTTCCTCTTAATTGGCTAGGAAGTCAGATAAAGTTGACATCTCATAGTGCTTCCTGAAGGCCCTCTTCCAACATTTTCAGACAGTTCTTCTCCAGGCTCTGTGTTGAGGGACAATGATGGACAATATTCGGCATTGGTTAAAATGTCACAGGACTCTACCTGTCCTTTTTCAGGTGGCTACCTTCCGAGAAGGGCTGAAACCTTCAATCAACAATGCATTCAAGCTAATGGTGGGATTCAAAAATTTTTACTACTGATTCTGTGGGCGTGGCATGGAGGCCGTGGCATGGCATGGCTTGGTGGGTGAGGCAGGGGAAGGATACTGTAAAAGCTCCATTTCCTCCCCACTTCAGGGGAAGGTTACTGCAAAATCCACATTACTGGTTATGACCAGTTCTGGAGAATAGGAAATTTTGAGTAGTTCGGAGAACCGGTAAATACCACCTCTGACTGGCCCTGCTCCCATCTATTCTCTGCCTCCCGAGTCCCAGCTGATAGGAAGGAAATGGGAATTTTGCAGTATCCTTCCCCTGGAGTGGGGAGGGAATGGAGATTTTACAGCGAACTACTCGAAATTTCTGCTACCAGTTCTCCAGAACTGGTCAGAACCTGCTGAATACCACTTCTATTCCAAGTTCCATCCCATCAGAGGGCAGAATAAGGGGTTGCTGCTCCTGAGGAATCAGCCAAACTATTACAAGTAGTCCACGACTTATGACCACAATTGAACCTAATGTTTCTGTTGCTAAGCAAGTCATTTGTTAAGTGAGTTTTGCCCCGTTTTATGGCCTTTCTTACCACATTTGTTAAATGAATCACTACAGTTGTTAAGTTAGTGGCACGGTTGTTAAGAGAACCTGGCTATCTCATTGAATTTGTCAGAAGGTCTAAAAAAAAGTGACCCCCAGGACACTACAATCATCATAAATTTGAGTCAGTTAACAAGCGTCAGAATTTTGATCACATGAACATGGGGATGCTGCAACAATTATTAATTCCACTTTATAACGCCATGGTAAGACCACACCTGGAATACTGCACCCAGTTTTGATCACCACAATGTAAAAAAGATGTTGAGACGCTAGAAAGAGATCAGAGAAGAGCAAACAAAATGATTAGGGGACTGGAAGCCAAAACATATAAAGAACAGTTGCTGGAATTGGGTATGTCTAGTTTAATGAAAAGAAGGACTAGGAGTAACATGATAACGGGGTTCTAATATCTAAGGTGTTGCCACAAAGAAGAGGGAGTCAAGCTATTCTCCAAAGCACTTTGAAGGCAGGACAAGAAGCAATGGAGACTTATCAAGGAGAAAACCAACTTAGAACTAAGGAGAAATTTCCTGACAGTGAGAAGAATGAATCAGTAGAACAGCTTGCCGCCAGAAGTTGTGGATGCTCCATCATTGGTGGCTTTTAAGAAGAGGCTGGACAGCCATTAGTCTGAAAGGGTATAGGGCTTCCTGCCTGAGCAGAGGGTTGGACTAGAAGACCTCCAAGATCCCTTACAACTCTATTATTCTGTTTTGTTATTAATTTTAAGTATGAAAAATGGTCAAAAATCTTTTTCAGTTCTGTTGTAAGTTTGGTCACTAAATGAACTGTTGTAAATTGAGGACTACCTGTATACAATTAACCAAGAGGTATTCTTAGCTAGAGGCTTTAGTTTGTTTATTCCTTTGGAAAGATTCTCCAAAGAAGATATTTGCCCTGCTTAGAAATGTTGCTGGTTGTTTTGTTCAGTAAGAAGAAAACTTGTATATAATTTATTGAAATTTTCATTACTAGGAATGTTTTCTTTCTGTTTCAGAATTCGGTACTGTTTAAAGAAAATAACTGAGTTTTTCTCCATGGAGGAGTGCGTCCTGCAGGATTGTGAGCAAAAAGCCCAACATCAAGAGGTCATGGTAGAAAATGCAAGCAATATGGCTTCCTTAGGTAAGGGATTTTCTTTCCTCTGTCTTGAAAATGTGGTGGAAGTGAGCAGTTTCTCTGTTTCTAAGATGAAATGCTAGTCTGTTCATTGTGTACAGTTGAGAAAGTTCTTAACTGCATTTTTACTTCTATGCTGTCTGTTAAGTGGGCTAAACCCTCCACACTGCAACCAGAAGGAGGAGAGAGGTCTTCCCCATGTAATTTCTTATCTAGTCAGATTGTGATCCTGTTTCACTTCATAGATAGACTTAGGAGTTACTTTCATTTTGCTACTGTCAGGCATGCATCAGTCCGATCACTTACAAAACAAATACCCTCGATTCCATCTAATTGAAGCGATAGGTTCTTTTACTAAAAGACGTTGGTTGCAGTAGGGTAAAACTAAATTTCCACGCTCAAAAGATACAAAAAGTTTCCCCTCTTCCCAGCTCTCCCCCCATGACCAGTCTGTCTTCAGCCAATAAGGATCCGCCTAGGTGTTTTGAGAATGCTGAGATGTTTGGGGCAATCCACCTTCTTTCTCAGGGTGCATGGCTTTGAGTGCTGGTACAAATTGTTTTGGAGTTTCACTGTTCTTCGTCAGCTATCATCTCCCGCTTCTCTATTTCCCATCACCTACACATACAGGTAGATTGCACATTTGTTGTCCTCCCAATGTCCTCTTCTTATTTCCTAGCTTTTGATGGCAGGATGCCAGCAAGGCACCAAGCCGAAGATCGCATACATTCCAGGTGCTTATAATAGTGGCACTTAAGAGGCCCAGGGTTTATCACAAGGATGTTAATGGTAGGGAAGTGGATTATTTGATAGTCAGATTTTCCAAAAATGAGACTTTTCATTCTGGTGATTCCCCCAAACACCATTATCATGAAGACCTTCCTTTGGCTCAGCTAGAGGAGAATGAGCATGTCCAGACTAAAAACTGTTATTTTCAAGGGAAAATTTCCTCAAGCAGAGAAGGCAAAACTTCATGACATAAATCAGTCCTTCCACTTTCTCAGATGTAAATTCAGCTAACTGGTTCTCTCTCATCATCCAATTTTGAAAAAAGTCAGCTTTGAAGAGTCCCTCCTGTATCTTTGGAACTGAATGGAAAGGAGCAGCAGAGCTGATGGGGCCCCATCCTGAGTCTCACAATGATTTTCCCAAAGCATTATGAGTTTGCATTCTGCAGCACAGAGGGCAAGAAGGAAACCTGGGGCAGATCTTATATCAATTAGATATGAAGCATAACACCATGTTTTGAACACAACCTGATAGAAGCAAAGAGAAGAACCACACAAAGACGTAAAAGAGAAAGAGTTAGTGGTGGGAGTTTTAGTTCATACCTCAGTTTGCATCAACTTTCCTTTTTTCTTCTCTTTTCCATGTAGGTGATGAATTGACGATAGAGGGTGCTGGCCAAGAGATGGTAGCACCTTTTCTAACAGTCAATAAGGAAGTTGCCCAAAGAATGAGTGAAAAGGAAAGGCCTGAAGAAAAGGAGTTAAAGGAGGAGCTGGGGAAACACTCTAGTTCCCAATATGCAGATATCAGTGTTTTCTTGCACAATGATGATCCCCAAGAAAAAGGAGCATGTCCAGGATGCGGAAAAATTCTCAGAGGTGAATTGGGATTATGTGACTGTTATACAAGCCATCCCCTTACGTTCCATAAAAACATTCACAAAACAGAGGATCCATTCCAAGGCCTTGAATTTGGAGAAAACATCAGTCAGAAAAATCACCTGAATTCATATCAGAGTGTCCACAAAGATAGGAAGCAGCATCAATGCATCTCCTGTGGAAAGAGCTTCAAAACCAGCGCAGCCCTTATTTCCCACCAAAGCATCCACAGAGAGGAAAGGTTGTATCAATGCAGGGAGAGTAGAACGAGGTTTCCTTGGAGCAAGGAACCAAATTCCAGGAAAAAAAGCCCCACTGGGAATAGCTCATGTAAATGCCTGGAATGTGGGAAGAGCTTCCGCTCTGCAACTCACCTCACTTTCCACAATAGAATCCATACAGGAGAAAAGCCATATCATTGCACGGTGTGTGGAAAGAGCTTCACCCAAAATGGCAATTTCAATTTACATAAGAGGGTCCACACCGGAGAGAAGCCATATAAATGCACAGAGTGTGGGAAATGTTTCAAGGCCCCAGGTGCTCTTACTTCCCATAAGAGGATTCACACAGGGGAGAAACCCTATGAATGTCTGGAATGTGGAAAATGTTTCAGCAGACGTGATACTCTAACTTTACATAATAAGATACATAAAGGGGAGAAACCTTATCAATGCCTGCACTGTGGAAAGAGCTTCAGTCAAAAAGTTCATCTTAAATCACACGAGAGGATCCATACGGGGGGAAAAACCATTTCAATGCATGGAGTGTGGAAAGAACTTCCGTGTCTCAACAAGCCTTACTGCCCATCACAGAATCCACACAGGGGAGAAGCCCTTTCAATGCCTGCAGTGTGGAAAGCTCTTTGCCAGTTCTGGTGGCTTTCATGCCCACGAACGGATCCACACAGGGGAGAAACCGTACAAATGCCTGGAGTGTGGAAAGAGCTTCAGTAAACCCAGCCACCTAACTTCCCATAAAAGTATCCACAGTGGAGAGAAACATTATCAGTGTACTGAGTGTGGGAAGCGCTTCAGTCAAACAAGTCACCTTAATATTCATAAAAGGATCCACACAGGGGAAAAGCCATATAAGTGCACCGAATGTGCCAAATGCTTCACCGACTCTGGGGCCCTCGTTCGCCACAAAAGGATGCACTCTGGAGAGAAACCATTTGAATGCAAGGAATGTGGAAAAAGCTTCAGTCAAAAAAAAAACTTTTATAATACATTACAGAATCCACACTGGGGAGAAACCCTACAAATGCACTGCATGTGAAAAGAGCTTCAGTGATCCTCAAGAACTTGCTTCCCATGAAAGGATCCACACTGGGGAAAAACCTTATAAATGTGTGGAGTGTGGAAAGGGCTTTAGGACCTCCAGTGACCTTAGTTCCCATAAGCGGACCCACACAGGTGAAAAGCCCTATCAGTGTGGTGAGTGTGGAAAGTGCTTTAGTCAAAACAGTTCCCTTAGTAGCCATAGAAGAATTCACTCAGGAGAGAAACCATATAAATGTATGGAGTGTGGAAAGTGCTATACACATAGCAGTGCTCTTAATTACCATAGAAGGATACACACAGGTGAGAAACCACATAAATGAGTTGAATATAAAAAAGTAATTACTTAGAATCAGTAATGTAATATCCATAGAAACTCACCCACTGAAGAAACCATTAAATGTATCAAATATGGAAAGAGCTGTATTTAAAATACTTCCCTTATTTTTCTTGCAAAAAGATATTAAAAATATATTAGTTGCATTTTTATACATTGTTATCCCTTCAGAATAGTGAAGATAGTGGAATTGGCCAGCCCTTCTTCTTGCACTGTAATATTCATCTTTTTTCCCTTGTTAGATCCGATGATCTTCCTTTTCAGATCAAGACTAAGGATTTTCCTTTGCTTTTTGCTTCTTTGCATAGCTAAAGCAGCTTTGTCTTTTTTACGCTGAAGAGATTGCCAGACAAAGTACGACTTGGTTACAAATAATGTCCCATAGAGAAAGAGAAAGGGGGGGGGCAGGGAGAAAATGATGTATCTAAAGTATTATGGTGAGGAGAGGCAGTATTGTACAGTACTGCAAGAATGTTTTTGTCTGCACAAATTTCCTCTGCACAAAAGTACATATATTGTCACCACTAGCAACAACTAGGAGAGATTTCCCATCTCTGAAGGATATGTGAAATATAAATATTTAAAATTCATTTACGATATTAATATTTTATTAATATGGATCGGTCTGAAGTGGCTCCTCACTCTGCTCCTCTTGGTCAGGAATAAAATGGTCGGCCAAATGAAGGAGTTTATAGGACACCTTTGGAAGAGCTTCAATTTACTACAAGAGGGAGACCAAACTCTTGTCTTTGTGATAGGTACAATATACCTTGCCTTAATGGAATATAACTAAGCATATGCCCCAAATATAAATATGCAGTGTGGTATTGGAAATACCCAGTATTTATTTATTTATTTATTTATTTATTTATTTATTTATTTATTTATTTATTTATTTATTTATTATGCCGCCCTTCTCTGGAGACTCAGGGCGGCTTACAATGTGTTAAGCAATAGCCTTCATACTTTTGTATATACCTGCTTAGTAGGGCTTTCAGGGCTCCCCTAAGCGGTGTTCTTTTTTATACAAAGTCAGCTTATTGCCCCCACAATCCGGGTCCTCATTTTACCTACCTCGAAAGGATTGAAGGCTGAGTCAACCTTGAGCCTGGTGAGATTTGAACTTGCAGTAATTGCAGGCAGCTGGTGCTACTTAATAGCACTTTAGTCTGCTGTGCCACCAAGGCTCATTTTATTAAACCATTACCAAATGGAAAGTAAGGGTTTTTTCCCTTCCTAAAATTTACCTGTGAATTGGGTTGAGGATGCCAACTTAGATTGTTGGGAACAGACATCTGTGCTAATTATGAATAGAAACTAATCAAGGAGAGAAGCAACCTAGAACTAAGGAGAAACTTCCTGACAGAACAATTAGCCAGTGGAACAACTTGCCTCCAGAAGTTGTGAATTCTCCAACACTGGAAGTTTTTAAGAAGAGATTGGACAACCATTTGTCAGAAATGGTATAGGGTTTCCTGCCTGAGCAGGGGATAGGACTAAAAGACCTCCAAGGTCCCTTCCAACTCTTATTCTATTCTGTGCTGTGCTGTGGTATAGTGGAGCTTTTTTTTTTTCCACTCTGAATAGATTGCCAACCAAAATACAAGTTGGTTACAAAGTAATGTACAGACAGAGGGGGGGTGAGGGGGGATGAAAGAAAAAGTATGTATCTTAAGTGTTATGGTGAGGAGAGGCAGTCAAAAGCCTTGGTGGTGCAGCAGACTAAAGTGCTGTTAAGTAGCACCAGCTGTCTGCAATTACTGCAAGTTTGAATCTCACAAGGCTCAAGGTTGACTCAGCCTTTCATCCTTTCAAGGTAGGTAAAATGAGGACCAGGATTGTGGGGACAATAAGCTGACTTTGTATAAAAAAGAACACCGCTTAGGGGGTGCCGAAAGCCCTACTAAGCAGGTATATACAAAAGTATGAAGGCTATTGCTTAACGCATTGTAAGCCACCCTGAGTCTCCGGAGAAGGGCGGCCTATAAATCAAACCAATAAATAAAATCAATAAATAAAGTACAGTACTGCAAGAATGTTTTTGACTGCTAAAAATTTCCTCTGTAGAAAAGTACATATATGGTCACCACTAGCAACAACTAACAGAGATTTCCCATCACTGGATGGAAATATAAAATATTTAAGATATTTGAGAAATATAAAATATTTAAAATTCATTTACTTACCATATTAATATTTTATTATACACTTCATCTTCATTCTTAACTGGCACCTCACTCTGCTCCTCTTGGTCATATTTTTTTCTTTAGTGTATAGCATGTAAAAGATTTACTGTATTTTTCGGATTATAAGATGCATTTCCCCCCAAAAAAGTGGGTGGAAATATCTGTGCATCTTATAGAGCGAATATTGAGGGGGGTTGGTGCAGCACCAATCAGCTGTTCTAGATGGCGGGAATCACCGCAGTTCGTTCAGCGGCGAACGGACAGCGGCGAACAGGCAGTGGCGACCATGCAGCAGTGACCAGGCCACAGCGAATGGGCCACAGGGTATGGGCTGCGGCTGTGGCAATCTCCGCCGCCTAGACGGCAGTATTCTGGAAGGCAAATCCAATCACCAATCAGCTGCTCAGCAGCGAAGGTTCCAGCATTCCCTGGCAGCAGTGACAGCTCAGCTGAGTTGACCGGTGGTGGGCGCAACAGAGCACAGCCCTGACGAGCCACTTGCTGGGGGTGTGATAACGTGCTGAAGTTGACCAGGCTGTTTTCTGTTTGCTGCAGGGACGCTAGCCAGATGAATACCAGATGGATGCTGGGAGGCAGAGCAATTTTTTCCCCCTTGTTTTCCTCCTCTAAAGCTAATGCTTTATTGTCCACAAATTACATTAATTTGATTCTTGACAACTGGAGAGAGTGAACTGTGAAGGTGAGGCTCTAAATACAGTCTATTTATGAGGAAAAGCCAGAGTTCATAGGAAGGGATTACAACTCAAAATAGTTAGCAAAGTGCCACAGGTATCACAGCCGCCATCTTTGATCACCTCAGATCAGGGGCTCTTCCTCACAAAAGGTGTTGGTATCAAGAAAGAAGCTGGAAATACCTACTCACATACTTATCAGCTCTACACGCATGTAAATTAGGTTTGAGATCATGTATTTTCATAACAGATATGTTGTTATTCACGATTAATGTCAGTATTATTTTTAATTTATTGTATGTCTATTGCTGGTCGATGACCGTAATAAAGTTTTATTCTATCCTATTCTTCTATTCTAAGCTGGAAGTATCTCAGAGAAGGAAGCCTCTTCCATCCCTATATGAGGTAAATTTTTCCTAGAACTGGATGTCTTTGGGCAGTATTTTATTTCTTTATATTAAATGTATATGCTTCCTTGAGAATTTGAATATTATTGGGGGAATTTTTCCCTTCAGGACCTCAGTTTTGCTCTCCCACAGCTTCTTCCCATGCCCCACAGTCGCTTATCCCAAATCAGAGGCTGTTCCTTTAAAAAAAGAAGGAGGGGGAGAAATAGTATTACCATCTTCCAGCTGGGTAGCTCTTCCCTGGAAAAGACATTTGGGGCAGAATCCCTCAGCGCTACCATCATTTGACTAGCTTTCCCCTTCAGCTGCTCTTCGGACAGGCGGGAACTCTTAGCCCCGCCCCTGCCAACGGTTTTTTTTCCTAAAGATTCCAAGAGGCCCAAAGGGCCGTTTTCTTTCGACGAAAGTCCGCCAGGACAGTGAAAGAGAGGACCGGAAGGGCCACCCGCTCCTCAGTAGGGCCATTCTAGGGAGAAGCAGTCGCTCCCTTTAACCCTTGGAGTTGCTGGAGAGATCGAGGAAGCCGGTGCCTTTGACGTCTGTCTCTGTGTGCGGCTCCATCTGCGAATCTCTCCAGTGGGACTCGCGGGGCGGATTTCGGATCCTCAAATATATATTAATCAGCCTCCGGAGACTATGAAGTTTGAGTTTTGACCTGGACAGCCACTTGTCTGAAATGGGATAGGCCAGGGTCTCCTGCCAGGGCGAAGACCTCCAAGATCCCTTCCAGCTCTATTCTATTTTCAACTCTGCAACTGCCCTCTCCAATACTGTCAGAGGGAAAAAATAGTGTCAGCTCCCTTGCTTAGCAGTACAAACTGAGAGACCATAAGATCTAATCTTATATTTAAGTGGTCAATAGAGGAGGCGTGCATAAGTGCATTAACGTGCCTATCGTCCCTGTCGTTGTATTTTTATTTTCTTATTCTTGTTCTTGTTTTTGTTTGACAAATTCCAATAAATAAATAAATAATCCCTATTGATGCACAGAAACTGGTTTAGATGGCTTTCAGCCAGTTATTCTCTGACCCACCTCGCAGGGCTGAGGGACCATTAGGTATCTCGGTTCCACAAAATAAGGGTGGGATATAAATTGTTTTTAAAAATAGACACCATCTGTAAGTTTGATAACCCCTTGTCTGATTAATGATCAAAATATATTGTGGTATAGGTGAAGCTCATCTGGTGAGTAAACAGAAATAGCTACTTAGTTACTCATTGTCCCAAATGTACATTTTGAAGAGGCAACTGGACTTTCTGGGTTTTTCCTTGAAGATGCTTCTTGGATGAGAAGGGAAACATCTTCAAAAAACCCCAGAAAGTCCAGTTGCCTCTTGAAAAAGCACCTTTAGGACAACCATGACCCGGATGACAGAGAATCTCCATAGACATATTGTTAATATAGCTCTTCATTCTACTTTCAATATTTTACTTTTGCAGTATCTCTCAAGAGACTTCCCCTCTTCTCCATATTCTGCTAGGGCCCTGGTGTTTTAATAAATGTATCCAAGGGAAGGCTCTAGCTTCCTGGTGATTACAAGCATAGCTTGTATCTTCCCATAGCTTTCTTTGGACAGGATATGAAATTGGATTTCCTGTTGGTGTGTGATCCATGCGCAATCCCGCTTCAATGCGAAATTCACAGCAGGTGGAGCAGATGCTGCCTTTTACTGCAAGGGAGGGGAAAATCGCGATTGTCAAGCACGACAGACCTGCAGAAAATTTCTGTAAGTGGGGATAACTTCTGTTATTCAAACAGGAGACAGCCACAGCAAGGGAAAGTCAGAGTTTTTTTAAAAAAACAAATCTGTTTCTTTGCAAAAAGAGGTTTCCGCTGGGAAAGTGACTACAGTCTCTTTCGCGTGGGAAGATCGGGACAAGTCCAAACTTTACTCCCTGAAGCTCCTAACCCCTAATTCCTCTCGAGCAGACCTTGGGCGTCTGCTTCCATTTTATTCCCAGGATTAAAACAGGATCCGCCCAGTGGTGCCCTCTTGCCAAGAGCTTCCAGGTCAGCGGGAAGGCATCCATAGGATTTCGGAAGTCCTGGAGGCGAAGAGATGAGGGAGCGATTTTTATAGGAAGAAGCATTCTCTGCTTTCCACATTAAATCGCTGGCGGTGGGTCCCTCAGTGGAAGGAGGGAGGTGCAGTTTACGGGCTGTGCTGGGAAGGCAGCGGCGCTGGAGGAGTTGCGAGGAAAGCGTTGCGCGGATCCTGCCCTGCACGCCTCTCTCGGGGAACGGAGTCCGGGCGAGGGGCAGAGCCGCCTTTCCCTGCGGGCAAGGAGGTAAGAAGCTTCCACTTTCCTTTCTCTTCGGGTAGTTCTGGGTGAGAAGGAAAGTTCTTGGAAATGTGACTTTTAGATGCTGTTTTTTGGGTCTCCCATAAGATTGTTCCTGCAGTCAACACTTTCTCCTGGAATAGTTTGCCTCCCGGAGTTATGGGTGCCTCAATCATTGGAGGTTTTCAAAAATAGTCCGGACAGCCATTTGACCTACAAGGTAAAGTCTCCTGCCTTGAGCAGAGAGTTGGACTAGAAGATCTCGGAGGTCCCTTCCAGTCCTAAAATTCTATCTTCTATGATCATTTCCCAAGGAATTTTCTCTGGTGCTGTGTCAGGTCCAGAAGACTGGTTTAAATGGCTGCTGAAGTCCCAGGAGGAATTCCGTGCAGTCATCCTGTATCCTCCCACTGTTGCTTCGCTGATGCCAGATTGCCATGAACAAACCCTGGGGGGAGGGAGTCCAGAAACGAAACCATTCCGAATGCCTGCCAAAAACGTCAGCGGCTGATCTCAAGGCCACAATCATGGGAATGGAATGCAGACAATGGCCATGCCCGCCAAGCATCAGAACTGTTACCAAAACAATTTGTTTCAATCCAATAGGACATGAAGGAGATAAAGGGGGGGCGGGGGGGGGAAGCTTGACAAATGGGTAGGTTAGTGGGCAGTAATATCTAAGTTTACTAACCCCTTGGCTTTAGTAAAAATAAACCTTCATAAACGAAGGCAATTGAAGGCTCTTCCTTCTTGTCCTGAGTCAGGGTCCTTCTGATGCCCTTTAATCCTCAGAATTGAATTTCCCTGTGTTTGATTCATGAGTTCGTCTTCATTTTTTGATTTACTTGTTTTAATATCATCACTCAAAAAAGATTGATTGGTTCATTAATCAAAGAGAGAAGCAACCTAGAATGAAGGAGAAACTTCCTAACAGTGAGGACAATTAACCAGTGGAGCAGCTGGCCAGCAGAAGTTGCCGGTGCTTCATTACTGGAGGTTTCTAAGAAGAGACTGGACAGCCACCTGTCTGAAATGATATAGGTTCCACTACTTGAGCAGGCGGTTGGACTAGAAAACCTCCAGGGTCCCTTCCAGCTCCCTATTCTGACTCCAAAGTTTTGTGATAGTGTGTATTTGAAAAGGAATCATCCCTTTCCTGTAGACGGTTCCAAAGGGCAACTCCTACCTGTAAAAAAAAGTTTTTGTTGTCCTTCTTCCCCGATTATCTGACAGGGAGGATGAACACTCAGCACAGTTCCCTGGGATATGGGGTGGGATCTGCTTGAGACATCTAGAGTCAAGCTGTGTTGTGTTTTAATGCATACAATCATGACAGAGAGAGCTGCCTCTGAATCCAATCTGGTTTTTCCACACCTCTCACCCAGTGTCAACAGCTTCTATGTGATGTTGCTGTGGCTGAAAGGTATTCAGATAAACTGATTCCCTGGTTACCATAGAAATAGGCTAGAATCACCCCTGTGCACTGTAGGTTCAAGAATATAATTAGGGCGTTTGATAGCAAGTTATTCCTTTGCTGTTTTTTTTCCTACTGGTAGACACTATAAAAAAAGTTCTCGACTTATGACCACAATTGAGCCCGAAATTTCGGTTAAGTGAGTCATTTGTTAAGTGAGTTTTGCCCCATTTTATGACATCTCTTGCCACAGTTCTTAAATGAATCACCGCAGTTGATAAATTAGTAACCCGGTTGTTCAGTGAATCTGGCTTCCCCATTGATTTTGCTTGTCATAAGGTTGCAAAAGGGGATCGCATCAACGATCATAGATATGAACCAGTTGCCAAGCATTTGAATTTTGATCACATGACCGTGGGGATGCTACAAAAGTCATAAGTTCGAAAAATGGTCATAAGTCACTTTTTTCAGTACCGTAACTTTGAACAGTTGCTAAGTGAGTGGTTGCAAGTCGAGGACTACCTGTAATGGCCTTGTCACCATCTTCTGGTACCTCAGTTGTTTGTAAGGGAGGATTAGCAGTGGTTGAGCTTCCAACTCAGTAGGATTCTCCCCTCTTCAAAGTGCCAGTCTGATCTATTGACAAAGCCTCCAATATTGTGCAAAACGAGAAATCCCTTTCACAAGCTTCCTGTTAATTGTCTAGGAAGTCACATAAATTTGCATGTCATCCTCAGATAGATGGCATCTCACAGTACTTCCTGGGGAACCTCTTCCAACATCTTCAGGCAGTTCTTCTGCAAGCTCTGTGTTGAGGGACAACATTTGGCATTGATTAAAATGTCACAGGATTCTACCTGTCCTTTTTGAGGTGGCTACCTTCCAGGAAGGGCTGAAACCTCCAATCAATGGTGCATCCAAGGTCCATCCCATTAGTGGGCAGAATAGGGAGCTCTTCCTCCTGAGGAGTCAGCCACACTATTACAGGTAGTCCCTGACTTATGACTACAACTGAGCCCCAAATTTCGCAAGTCATTTGTTAAGTGAGTTATGCCCCATTTTACAACCTTTCTTGCCACATTTGTTAAGTGAATTCCTGCAGTTGTTAAGTTAGTGACACGGTTGTTAAGAGAACCTGGCTTTCCCATTGAATTTATTTGTCAGAAAAGTGACACACACCCCCCTCGCCCCGGACACAACAATCATCATACATTTCAGTCAGTTACCAAGCACTAGAATTTTGATCACATGAACATGGGGCTGCTGGAAAAATTGTTAATACCACTTTATAATGCCTTGATAAGACCACACTTGGAATACTACATTCAGTTTTAGTCAATACAATGTAAACAAGATGTTGAGACTCTAAAAAGAGTGGATAGAAGAGCAAACAAGATGATTAGGGGACTGGAGGCTAAGATATATAAAGAACTGTTGCTGGAATTGGGTATGTCTAGTTTAATGAAAAGAAGGACTAGGGGTGACATGATAGCAGTCTGGCAATATCTCAGGTGTTGCCAAAAAAGAAGAGGGAGTCAAGCTATTCTCCAAAGCATCTGAAGGCAGGACAAAAAGCAAAGGATGGAAACCAATCAAGGAGAGAAGCAACCTAGAACTAAGGAGAAATTTCCTGACAATGAGAAGAATTAATCAGTGGAACAACTTGCCTCCAAACTCACGTGTGCTCCATCATTGGAGGCTTTTAAGAAGAGACTGGACAGCCATTTGTGTGAAATGGTATAGGGCTCCCTGCCTTGAGCAGGGGGTTGGACTGGATGACTTGCAAGATTCCTTACAACTCTGTTATTCTGTTCTGTTATTAATTCAGGTATGAAAATTGGTCAAAAATCACTTTTTTCAGTTCTAAGTTCTGTCACTAAATGAACTATTGTAGGTCGAGAACTACCTGTAAAGCATTAACAGAGATATATTCTTAGCCAGAGCTTTACAATTTATTCCTTTGGAAAGATTCTCCAAAGAAGCTGCTTATTTGCCCTGGTTAGAAATTTTGCTGGTTGCTTTGTTCGTTAAGAAGAAAATTTGCATGTAATTTATTGAATTGTTAATTAATCAGAATGTTCATGGAATGTTTTGTTTCTGTTTCAAGATTTGGTACTGCTTAAGGATATAGCTGAGTTTTTCTTCCATGGAGGAGTGGGCCCTGCTGGATTGTGAGTAGAAAGCCCTACACGGAGAGGTCATGGTGGAGGACACAAGGAATATGGCTTCCTTAAGTAAGGGATTTTCTTTCTTCTGTCTTGAAAATGTGGTGGAAGTGAGCAGTTTCTGTGTTTCTAAAATGAAATGCTAGTCTGTTCATTGTGTACAGTTGAGAAAGTTCTTAACTGCATTTTTACTTCTACGCTGTCTGTTAAGTGGGCTAAACCCTCCACACTGCAACCAGAAGGAGGAGAGAGGTCTTCCCCATGTAATTTCTTATCTAGTCAGATTGTGATCCTGTTTCACTTCATAGATAGACTTAGGAGTTACTTTCATTTTGCTACTGTTAGACATGCACCAGTCCGATCACTCACAAAAAAAATACCCTCAATTCCATCTAATTGAAACAATAGGTTCTTTTACTAAAAGATGTTGGTTGCAGTAGAGTCAGGCTAGAACTAAATTTCCCAAGCTCAAAAAAATACAAAAGGTTTCCTCTCATCCCAGTCCTCGCCCCCCATGACCAGTCTGTCTTCAGCCAATAAGGATCCGCCTGGGTGTTTTGAGAATGCTGAGATGTTTGGGGCAATCCACCTTCTTTCTCAGGGTGCATGGCTTTGAGTGCTGGTACAAATTGTTTCAGAGTTTCTTTGTTCTTCATCAGCTGTTATTTCCCCCTCCCCTATTTCCCATCACCTATACATACAGGTCGATAGCACATTTGTCGTTCCCCACCCTCACCATGTCCCCTTCCAATTGCCTAACCTTTGATGGCAGGATGCCAACAAGGCGCCAAGCCAAAGATAGCAAACGTTCCAGCTGCTTATAATGGTGGGACTTAAGAGGTCCAGTGGTACACAGGGTTTACCACAAGGATGTTACTTCTAGGGAAATGGACTGTTTGATAGTTGGATTTTCCAGAGATGAGACTTTCCATTCTGATGGCTGCCCCAACCACCACTATTTTCATGGAAACCTTCCTTTGGCTCAGCTAGGGGAGAATGAAAACTGGTATTTTCAAGGGAAAACTTCCTCAAGCAGAGAAGGCAAAATTTAATGACATAAATCAGTATTTCCACACTCTCAAATATAAATTCAGTGAACCAGTTCACTCTCATCATCCAATTTTAAACAAAGCCAGCTTTCAAGTGTCCCCCCCTGTATCCTTGGAACTGAACCTGAAGGAACAGCAGAACTGATGGGAACCCACCCTTGTGAGAGGAATCACAAAAAGAGCTAAAAGAAAAAAAGTGATCGTGGCGGGACTTTTACTAATGTTCAAATAAGAGATCCAACAATGATGCTTAATCCCTTTCACACCTCAGTTTGTTTCAACTTTCCTTTTTTTCCTTCTTTTTCATGTAGGTGATGGATTGAAGACAGTGGATGCTGGCCAAGAGATGGCAGCGACTTTTCTAACAGTCAATAAGGAAGTTGCAGAAAGAATGAGTGAAAAGGAAAGGCCTGAAGAAAAGGAGTTAAAGCAGGAGCTGGGGAAATACTCTAATTCCCAATATGCAGATATCAACATTTCCTTGCACAATGATGATCCCCAAGAAAAAGGAGCTTGTCCAGAATGTGGAAAAATACTCAAAGATGAATTGGGATTATGTGACTGTTATACAAGCCATCCCCTTACGTTCCATAAAAACATTCCCAAAACAGAAGATTCATACCGTGGCCTGGAATTTGGAGAAAACATCAGTCAGAAAAATCACCTGAATTCATATCAGAGTGTCCACGAAGATAGGAAGCAGCATCAATGCATCACCTGTGGAAATAACTTCAGAACCAGTGCAGCCCTTATTTCCCACCAAAGCATTCACAGAGAGGAAAGGTTGTATCAATGCAGGGAGGGTAGAACGAGGTTTCCTTGGAGCAAGGAATCAAATTCCAGGGAAAAGAGCCCCACTGGGAATAGCTCATGTAAATGCCTGGAATGTGGGAAGAGCTTCCGCTCTGCAACTCACCTTACTTTCCACAATAGAATCCATACAGGAGAAAAGCCATATCATTGTACAGTGTGTGGAAAGAGCTTCACCCAAAATGGCAATTTCAATTTACATAAGAGGGTCCACACCGGAGAGAAGCCATATAAATGCACAGAGTGTGGGAAATGTTTCAAAACCCCCGGTTCCCTTACTCAGCATAAAAGGATTCACACAGGGGAGAAACCCTATGAATGCTTGGAGTGTGGAAAAAGCTTTAGCAGAAACTGCACTCTAATCATACATAACAGGATACATAAAGGGGAGAAACCTTATCAATGCCTGCACTGTGGAAAGAGCTTCAGTCAAAAAGTTCATCTTAAGTCACACGAGAGGATCCACACGGGGGAAAAACCATTTCAATGTGTGGAATGCGGAAAGAGCTTCCATTCCTCTAGAAACCTTACTGCCCATCACAGAATCCACACAGGTGAGAAGCCCTTTCAGTGTTTCCAGTGTGGAAAGCGCTTCGCCAGTTCTGGTGGCTTTCATGCCCACGAACGGACCCACACAGGGGAGAAACCATACAAATGCCTGGAGTGTGGAAAGAGCTTCCGTAAACCCAGCCACCTAACTTCTCATAGAAGTATCCACACTGGAGAGAAACCATATCAATGCACCGAGTGTGGGAAGCGCTTCAGTCAAACAAGTCACCTTAATATTCATAAAAGGATCCACACAGGGGAAAAGCCCTATAAGTGCACGGAATGTGACAAATGCTTCACCGACTCAGGGGCCCTCGTTCGCCACAAAAGGATGCACTCTGGAGAGAAACCATTTGAATGCAAGGAATGTGGAAGAAGCTTCAGTCAAAAAAGAACTTTTATAATACATTACAGAATTCACACTGGGGAGAAACCCTACAAATGCACTGCGTGTGAAAAGAGCTTCAGTGATCCTCAAGAACTTGCTTCCCATGAAAGGATCCATACTGGGGAAAAACCCTATAAATGTGTGGTGTGTGGAAAGGGCTGTAGGACCACCAGTGACCTTAGTTCCCATAAACGGACCCACACAGGTGAAAAGCCCTATCAGTGTGGTGAGTGTGGAAAGTGCTTTAGTCAAAACAGTTCCCTTAATAGCCATAGAAGAATGCACTCGGGAGAGAAACCCTATAAATGTATGGAGTGTGGAAAGCGCTATACACATAGCAGTGCTCTTAATTACCATAGGAGGACGCACACAGGTGAGAAACCACATAAATGAGTTGAATGTAAAAAAGTAATTAGTTAGAATCAGTCACGTATTATCCGTAGAAATATTCACCCACTGTTCTGACCTAGGCTCCCTTAAAAAGCAGGAAGCAGAGTCTTGGTTCTGGCAAAATCCCTTTTATTTACATGACTGTGAATTCTTTCATTCACAGTCAGCAAAGCCTGTCCAAACAATTTTTCAAAGGAATATTTATCAACACAGACCTCATCTCACTTGGCAAGCTACCATGTAACTAGTTTCAAAAAGCAGTACAAGGCAAAACTTGGCAGAGTCTCGAAACAAATGAATTTTTTCCTGCAAAATCCCATTCCCTGTTCTCTCCTCTTTTGTTTCCTATGGAGGAGCAAATCACCTCCAAAGTGTGGCTTTACTCCCAAGCCGACCCTGCTTTCTTAGTTGTTCTTGTCTTCTGGCAGCTCTGTGCATGCGCACACTGGGAACAGGCTTCAGCAGTTCCTCTGCCTCACTGCTGTCTAGCTCCCTCTCTGCCTCCAACCCAGAGCCCTCATCCGAGCTTACCCAGCCCCCAGGACTGGCCCAACCTCCTCACTGTCCAACTCTGCTGCCAGCTGTGCTGGCCACCGGCTGGCCACAACACCCACTGAAGAAACCATTAAATGTATCAAATGTGGAAAGAGCTTTATTTTAAATACTTCCCTTATTTTTCTTGCAAAAAGATTTGCTCATTGGAGAAACTAATTAAATGTCTCAAGGTTATAAAAGTGCTTCAGTGCCTCTTGTTTGCCTATTCCCATAATACTAAAGGAGCTTAATTCAGAAAAGTGAACTTATAAAAGGAGCCACTTGGAGAAGTGGCCATATACGTATCTGTACTGTGGAAAGAGCTTCAAGTTACTACAAGAGGAAAGTCAAAATCCTGTTTGTGCAGCAAGTACAATATAGCTGAACGTAATGGAATGTAATTAAGCATATGCACCAAATATAAATATGCAGTGAGGAATTACAAATACCCAAGTTTTATTAAAACCTTACCAAATGGAAAGTAACAGTTTTTCTTAATATTTACCTGTGAGCTGGGTTGAGGATGCCACCTTACATTGTTGGGAATAGGCATCTGTGATGATTATGGATAGACAAGAAGTACAAACAGCTATAGACATAAGTATGAATGCATTTCAACATTTTAAGAATTGATATGGGGTGCCTTCTGTTGCACAGAATTCTATTGCACAGAATAGTTAGGCTAGGAAGATCTATGATCTGTTAATGTCTGAATTAAGTTACTGTAATCTAATTCAAAGGTTCTCAAATTTTCTTGCTTTATGACACAGTATTTCCATAAACTGTGTAAGAGTGATGTAAATGCATGATAATGAAACTTCGTTGATGTTATATACATATAAATTATACTGCACTGCTTTTTTACAGTGTCTAATAGTTACATTTTTATACATTGTTATTCCTTCAGAATAGTGAAGATAGTGGAATGGGTCAGCCCTTCATCTTGCACTGTAATGTTCACCTTTTTTCCCTTGTTAGATCCTTCGATGATCTTCCTTTTCGGATCAAGACTAAGGATTTTCCTTTGCTTTTTGCTTGTTTGCTTAGCTAAGTGGAGCTTTTTCTACTTAATTTTTCACTCTGAAGAGATTGCCAGCCAAAATACAAGTTGGTTACAAAGTAATATCCTGTACAGAAAGAGGTGGTGGAGGAGAAAAAGTATGTATCTTAAGTGTTGAGGAGAGGCAGTACAGTACAGTATTGCAAGAATGTTTTTGACTTCTAAAATTTCCTCTGGACCAATGGTCACCACTAGCAACAACTAGCAGAGTTTTCCCATCACTGGATGGAGTTGAGAAATATGGAATATTTAAAATTCATTTACTTACTATATTTTGTTATACACTGCATCTTCATTCTTAACTGGAACCTCACTCTGCCCCTCTTGGTCGTATTTTTTCCTAGTGTATAGCATGTGAAAGACTTAATTTGATTGACAACTGGAGAGAGTGAACTGTGAAGGCCAGGCTCAAAATACAGTCCATTTATGAGGAAAAGCCAGAGTTCATAGGAAGGGATTACAACTCCAAATACAGTTAGCAAGGTTACAGAGGCCTGACAGACGCCATCTCGGATCAGTTCAGATCAGGAGCTGTTGGTCAAGAAAGGTGCTTGTTAGTACCTTCAACAAAGAAGCTGGACGTGCCTCGAAGAGGGAAGCCTCCTTCATCCCTATATGAGGCAATTTTTTTTCTAGTGCCTGATGTCTTTGGCCAATATTTCATTTATTTATTTGTTTATTTAAAATTCATATGCTTCCTTGAGAATTCAAATGGTATTGGGGCTTTTTTCCCCCTTCAGGACCACCATTTTGCTCTCCCACAGCTTCTCCTCATGTCCCGCAGTCGCTTTTATCATCCCAAATCAGGGGCTTAAAAAAGAAAAAAACAATATTAGCATCTTCCAGCTGGGAAGCCCTCCCCTGGGAGAGGCGTTTGGGGCGGAATCCCTCTGTGCTACCAGCCTTCAAGTAGAAGAGAGCGTCTTTCTCCGTCATAGACGCGGGAACTCCTAGCCCCGCCCCTTCCAACGGTTCTTTCCCGAAGGTTCTCTCCTCAAGATGCCCCAAAGAGATGTGCCCTGAGGGGAGTCCGCCTGGGCAGCGAAGGAGAGGGCCGGAAGGGCCACCCGCTCCTCAGTAGGGCCTTTCTAGGGAGAAGCAGTCGCTCCCTTTAATCCTTGGAGTTGCTGGAGAGGTCGAGGAAGCCGGTGCCTTTGATGTCTGCGAGTCTGTTCGGCCCCAATGGGGCTCGAGGGGCGGAGTTTGCTTCCTCCTCCTGCAGCCTCAAATATATGTTAATCTGCCAATGAATAATGTATCCAGAGACTATGAAGTCTGAGTTTTGACCTGGACAGCCCCTTGTCTGAAATGGGATAGGCCAGGGTCTCCTGCCAGGGCAGGGGACTGGACTAGAAGACCTCCAGGATCCCTTCCAGCTCTATTCTGTTTGCAACTCTGCAATTCTGCCCTCTCCAATACTGTCAGAGGGGAAATAATGGTGTCAGCTCCCTTGCTTAGCAGAACAGAAGCTGGTTAGATGGCTTTGTTCCAATTATTCTATCTGACCTAACCCGCAGAGCTGATTTTTTTTTTAAAATTAAAAACAAAAAGAGGGACCAACCTGAGTTCCACAAAATAAGGGTGGGATATAAATTGTTTTTAAAAATAGACACCATCTGTAAGCTTGATAACCCCTTGTCTGATCAATGATCAAAATATATTGTGGTAGGAATGAAGTTCATCTCCTGGTGAATAAACAGAAATAGCTACATAGTTATGCATTGTCCCAAATGTATTTTTTCAAGAGGCAACTGGACTTGGGGTGGTTGAAGACTTTTAGCTTCTCATCCAAGAAACATCTTCAAAGAAAAAGCCAGAAAGTCCAGTTGCTTCTTGAAAAAGCACCTTTGGGACAAACATGACACAGATGACTGAGAATCTCCATAGACATATTGTTACTGTAGCTCTTCATTCTACTTTCAATATTTTACTTTTGCAGTATCTCTCAAGAGACTTCCCCTCTTCTCCATATTTTGCTAGGGCCCTGGGGTTTTAGTAAAGCTATCCAAGGGAAAGCTCTAGTCTGGTGATTACAAGCAAATCTTCCCATAGCCTCCTATGGACAGGATATGAAATTGGATTTCCTGGTGGTGTGTTATCCATGCACCATCCAATGCGAAATTCACAGCAGGGGGAACAGATGCTGCCTTTTACTGCAACGGAGGGGAAGATAGCTATTGTCAAGCACGACAGACCTGCAGAAAAATTCCGTAGGCGGGGATAACTTCTGTTATTCAAACAAGGAACAGCCACAGCAAAGGAAAGCAAGCAAAAGGAAAGCAAACCTCTGCAAAAAGAGGTTTCCGCTGGGAAAGTGACTATAGTCTCAACTGTGGCGTGGGAAGATGGGAACAATGTCCAAACTTTACACCCTCAAGCTCCTAAACCCTAATTCCTCCCCGGGGGATCACCTCGGGCGTCCGCTCCCCTTTGCTTCCCAGGATTAAAATAGGATCAGCCCGGGGGCGCCCTTTTGCCAAGAGCTTTCCGGTCAGCGGGAAGGCGTTTATAGGATCTCGGAGAACCTGGAGGAGAAGGAGGGAAGAGGGAGGGGCCTCTACAGGGAGAAGCGCTCTCTGTTTGCACTTTAAATCCCTGGCGGTGGGAGAGAAGTGCAGTTTACAGGCTGTGCTGGAGGAGCTGCGAGGAAGGCGTTGCGCGGATCCCGCCCTGCGCGCCTCTCTCGGGGAACGGAGTCCGGGCGAGGGGCAGAGCCGCCTTTCCTTGCCGGCGTGAAGGTAACGAGCTTCCACTTTCGTTTCCCTTCGGCTACTTCTGGGTGAGAGGGGAAAGTTCTTGACTTTTAGATGCTGCTTTTTGGGTCTCCCATAAGATTGTTTCTGCAGTCAAAACTTTCTCCTGGAATAGTTTGCCTCTCGGTGTTGCGGGTGCCCCAATCACTGGAGGCTTTCAAAAATAAACCGGACAGCCATTTGACCGGAATAGTATAAAGGGTTGGACTAGAAGATCTCTGAGGTCTCTTCCAGTTTTAGGATCCTGTGTTCTATGATCATTTCCCATGGAGCTTTCTCTGATGCTGTGTCAGGTCCAGAAGCCTTGGATTTAAATGGCTGCTGAATTCTCCGGAGGAATTCCTGTGAGCCCTCCGTCATCGCCCCATTATTCCTTCGCTTATGCCCAGGGCCGGATTTTACTATAGGCTAACTAGGCTTCAGCCTAGGGCCTCAAGATCAAGAGGGGCCTACATTCAAATTGTTAGCAAAATTAAAATTACACTTTCACTATAGGTGAAAGGGCCTCATAAGTGGAATAGCCTAGGGCCTCTTTTCATCTAAATCCGGCCCTGCTTATGCCAGATTGCTATAAACCGAGGGGGGAGGGAGCCCAGAAACGAAACCATTCCCAATGCCTCTTCAAGCATGGGAATGGAATGGAGACAAGGGCCATGCCCGCCAAGCATCAGAACTGTTACCAAAACAATTTGCTTGAATCCCATTGGACACGAGGGAGATAATTGGGGGGGAAGGGCTTGGGAGAGGGGAAAGTGAGTGGGCAGTCTTCACCTCCCAAAGCTCACATCTGGCCTTCTCCTATCTTGTTACCACTTAGCTTTAAAAGTAAAAGGAAACCTTCCACTATGAATGCAGTTGAAGGCTCTTTTCTCCTAAATGACCAGGTAAGAGAGAAAGGAGGATGGTCCCTCCCTTGGTGCCATTGTTCAGGGGGAGTCACTCAGGAAGATCCCCCTCAGAAGGGAGAAAGGGTCCTTCTGATGCCCTTTAACCCTCAGGATTGAATTTGCCCACTTTCTTTCCTTCATGAATTCTTTTTCATTTGTTATTTGCTTGTTTTATATCATCACTGGGAAAAGTATTGTGCCAGTATAGTGCATTTAAAAAGGATATTACAGATTAACAGAGTTGGAAGGGATCTTGTAGGTCATCTAGTCCAACCTCCCCAAGCAGGAAACCCTACACCATTTCCAACAAATGGCAGTCCAGTCTCTTCTTGAAAGCCTCCAGTGATGAAGCTCCCACAACTTCCAAAGGCAACTTCTGTTCCATTGGTTGACCGTTCTCACTGTCAGAAAATTCCTCCTTATTTCTAGGTTGAATCTCTCCTTGGTCAGTTTCCATCCGTTATGCCTTGTCTGGCCCTCAGGTGCCTTGGAAAATAGCTTGACTCTTCCTCTCTCTGGAAACCCCTCAAATATTAGAAGACTGCCATCATGTCTTCCCTAGTCCTTCTCTTCACTTCACCTTCTCTTCTGCATTATAGGTTCAAGAATATTATTAGGATGTTTGATAGCAAGCAAGTCCTTTGCTGTTTTATCTGAAATAGTATGGGGTTTCCTACCTAAGCAGGGGGTAGGACTAGAAGACCTCCAAAGTCCCTTCCAACTCTCGCATTATTATTATTTTTTTAAATCAAATTTTAAATTTGATTTATATGCCACCCTTCTCCGGAGACTCAAGGCGGCTTACAATGCGTTAAGCAATGGGTTAAGTATTATGGGTTTGCACAGATCTTATATCAACTAGATATGAAGCATAACACCATGTTTTGAACACAACTTGATAAGTGCAGAGAAGAATCACAGAGCTAAAAGAAAAAAGATCGTGGTGAGAGTTTTAGTAATGTTCAAATAAGGAATGCAACAATGATGCTTAATCCCTTTCACACCTCAGTTTGTGTCAACTTTCCTTTTTTCTTTTTTTCCCCATGTAGGTGATGGATTGAAGACAGTGGATGCTGGCCAAGAAATGGCAACCCCTTTTGTAACAGTCAATAAGGAAGTTGCAGAAAGAATGAGTGAAAAGGAAAGGCCTGAAGAAAAGGAGTTAAAGGAAGAGCTGGGGAAACACTCTAGTTCCCAATATGCAGATATCAGCGTTTTCTTGCACAGTGATGATCCCCAAGAAAAAGGAGCGTGTCCAGGATGCGGAAAAATACTCAGAGGTGAATTGGGATTATGTGACTGTTATATAAGCCATCCCCTTACGTTCCATAAAAACATTCCCAAAACAGAGGATCCATTCCAAGGCCTGGAATTTGGAGAAAACATCACTCAGAAAAATCACCTGAATTCATATCAGAATGACCACGAAGATAGGAAGCAGCATCAATGCATCACCTGCGGAAAGAGCTTCAAAACCAGCTCAGCCCTTATTTCCCACCAAAGCATCCACAGAGAGGAGAGGTTGTATCAATGCAGGGAGGGTAGAACAAGGTTTCCTTGGAGCAAGGAACCAAATCCCAGGGAAAAAAGCCCCACTGGGAATTATTCATGTAAATGCCTGGAATGTGGGAAGAGCTTCCGCTCTGCAACTCACCTCACTTTCCACAATAGAATCCATACAGGGGAAAAGCCATATCATTGCACAGTGTGTGGGAAGAGTTTCACCCAAAATGGCAATTTCAATGTACATAAGAGGATTCACACTGGAGAGAAGCCGTATCATTGCACAGAGTGTGGGAAATGCTTCAGGACCTCCAGTGAGCTTAATTCCCATAAGACAATTCACACAGAGGAGAAACCCTATGAATGCTTGGAGTGTGGAAAACGCTTCAGCAGAAGTGGTGCTCTAACCTTACATAATAGGATGCATAAGGGGGAGAAACCTTATAAATGCCTGCACTGTGGAAAGAGTTGCAGTCAAAAAGTCCACCTTAAGTCACATGAGAGGATCCACACGGGGGAAAAACCATTTCAATGCATGGAGTGTGGAAAGAACTTCCGTGACTCAACAAGCCTTACTGCTCATCACCGAATCCACACAGGGGAGAAGCCCTTTCAATGCCTGCAGTGTGGAAAGCGCTTTGCCAGTTCTGTTGGCCTTCGTGGCCACAAACAAACCCACACAGGGGAGAAACCATACAAATGCCTGGAGTGTGGAAAGAGCTTCCGTAGATTCAGCCACTTAACATCCCATAGAAATACCCACACTGGAGAGAAACCATATCAATGCACTGAGTGTGGGAAGCGCTTCAGTCAAACAAGTCACCTTAATATCCATAAAAGGATCCACACAGGGGAAAAGCCCTATAAGTGCACGGAATGTGCCAAATGCTTCACCGACTCTGGGGCCCTCGTTCGCCACAAAAGGATGCACTCTGGAGAGAAACCATTTGAATGCAAGGAATGTGGAAGAAGCTTCAGTCAAAAAAGAACTTTAATAATTCATTACAGAATTCACACTGGGGAGAAACCCTACAAATGCACTGCGTGTGAAAAGAGCTTCAGTGATCCTCAAGAACTTGCTTCCCATGAAAGGATCCACACTGGGGAAAAACCCTATAAATGTGTGGTGTGTGGAAAGGGCTGTAGGACCACCAGTGACCTTAGTTCCCATAAGCGGACCCACACAGGTGAAAAGCCCTATCAGTGTGGAGAGTGTGGAAAGTGCTTTAGTCAAAACAGTTCCTTTAATAGCCATAGAAGAATTCACTCAGGAGAGAAACCATATAAATGTATGGAGTGTGGAAAGTGCTACACACATAGCAATAGTCTTAATTACCATAGGAGGACACACACGGGTGAGAAACCACATAAATGAGTTGAATGTAAAAAAGTAATTAGTAAAAATCAGTGTATTATCTGTAGAAAGATTCATTCACAGAAGCCATTAAATGTATCGTGTGGAAAGAGCTTTATTTAAAACATTTCCCTTATTTTTCTTGCAAAAGAATGTGCTCATTGGAGAAACTACGTAAGGTTACAAAAGTTGTTCAGTGCCTCTTGTTTACCTATTCCCATAATACTGAAGGCGCTTCCTTCAGAAGAGTGAACTCATAAATGGAGCCACTGGGAGGAGTAGCCATATATGTATCTGTAGTGTGGAAAGAACTTCAGTGGTTCCATTTTTGGTCAAAATGGATAGGTGGTGTGGATTAAGATTAGTAAAAAATGAATTAAGAGTGAAGGAAGGGAAAGAGAAGAAATAAAATGGTCGACCAAGGAGTTTATAGGACACCTATGGAAGAGCTTCAATTTACTACAAGAGGGACACCAAAATCTTGTCTGTGTAATAGGTGCAATATACCTTGCCTTAATGGAATGTAACTAAGCATATGCCCCAAATATAAATATGCAGTGAGGTATTGGAAACACCCAGGTTTTATTAAATCATTGCCAAATGGAATGTAAGTGGTTTTTTTTCCCTTCCTAAAATTTACTTGTGAATTGGGTTGAGGATGCCAACATACATTGTTGGGAACAGACATCTGTGCCGATTATGAATAGAAACTAATCAAGGAGAGAAGGAACCTAGAACTAAGAAGAAATTCCCTGACAGAACAATTAGCCAGTGGAACAACTTGCCTCCAGAAGTTGTAAATTCTCCAACATTGGAAGTTTTTAAGAAGAGATTGAATAACCATTTGTCTGAAGTGGTGTAGGAGTAGCACTGAGTTGGAATAGAAGACCTCCAAAGTCCCTTCCAACTCTGTTATTGTATTCTATTCTATTCTAGCCTAGTCTAACCTATCCCTATCCTATTCCTTCCTAATAATTTACCTGTGAATTGGGTGGTGGATGCCAATTTACATTGTTGGGAACAGACATTTGTGCTGATTATGGATGGGCAAAACGTACAAATGGCTACAGACATAAGTGTGAATACATTTCAACATTTTGATTGTAAATTGGAATTGATATGGGGTGCCTTCTGTTGCACAGAATCCCTGGTTAGTGGTGTATAGCATGTGAAAGACATAATTTGATTCTTGATAACTGGAGAGAGAACTGTGAAGGCCAGGCTCTAAATACAGTCCATTTATGAGGAAAAACCAGAGTTCATAGGAAGGGATTACAACTCCAAATACAGTTAGCAAGGTTACAGAGGCCTGACAGCCGCCATCTCGGATCAGTTCAAATCAGGGGCTGTTGGTCAAGAAAGGTGCTTGTTAGTACCTTCAACAAAGAAGCTGAATGTGCCTCGAAGAGGGAAGCCTCCTCCATCCCTATATGAGGCAATTTTTTCCTAGTGCCTGATGTCCTTGGCCAATATTTCATTTATTTATTTATTATTTATTTATTTAAAATTCATATGCTTCCTTGAGAATTCAAATGGTATTGGGGCTTTTTTCCCTCTTCAGGACCACCATTTTGCTCTCCCACAGCTTCTCCTCATGTCCCGCAGTCGCTTTTATCATCCCAAATCAGGGGCTTAAAAAAGAAAAAAAAGTATTAGCATTTTCCAGCTGGGAAGCCCTCCCCTGGGAGAGGCGTTTGGGGCGGAATCCCTCTGTGCTACCAGCCTTCTAGTAGAAGAGAGCGTCTTTCTCCCTCAGAGACGCGGGAACTCCTAGCCCCGCCCCTTCCAACGGTTCTTTCCCGAAGGTTCTCTCCTCAAGATGCCCCAAAGAGATGTGCCCTGAGGGGAGTCCGCCTGGGCAGAGAAGGAGAGGGCTGGAAGGGCCACCCGCTCCTCAGAAGGGCCTTTCTAGTTTGTTGCATACACAGCGCGTGCCAAATGTGCTGTGCATGCACATGCATAGCACGCACCAAAAGCATGCTGCACGTGCATGCACATTGTGCACCAAACATGGAAAAAGAAGTCTTCACTAGGTAAGTAGAACAGCGAGGGGCGGGGGAACAGCTGTGTCGAGTGATTTAGCTTCACTAGAAAGCAAGATTTCCTGCTTTCTAGCAAATATAAACCATGTGGCACAGCTAATCGTCAGAAATACCGGTTCGGACAATCTGGTAGTTTTTTAAAACTACCAGTTCAACTGAACTAGTAGCATTTTTTAACTACAGGTTCATCCGAAACGATAGTTTTTATCACTACCGGTTAACCCGAACTGGAGCAAACCGGTAGCATTTCACCCCTGTCTCTCACTGACAAACTTCAAGGTCATTGCCCTGGGAGAAGGCTGCATCTGCAAGAAAGCCATTTTGAAAACAATTTATTTGAATATGATTAGACAATGGGGTGGAGGGGGAGAGAAACGACCAGCAATGGGAAGGGACAAAGGGGAAAAAGTTAACTAGGAATGTTTTGACAGCTAGGATTTCCAATAGTGGTTTGCCATTGCTTCCATTCTAGGGATAAGAGGAAGCGACTGGCCCAAGGTCACCCAGTTGGCTTTGTGCCCAAAGTAGGACTAGAACTCATGGTTTCCCAGTTTCTAGCCTGATGCCTCAACACCAATACCACCAAACTGTCTCTCTATTCTCACTTAGGAATGTGAAAATTTGAGACTGTGTATTGGGTGACTGGACTGAGATCCAGTTCCATAAGTATTTAGGAATCGCATCCACATCGGAGATTCTCTGAAGAGAGTTTGAACCATTCCTTATTGATATAGTAGAAGCCTTCCTGAGTTAGAAAAAGAAACTATAGTTTGAACACTGCCAATTAATAAGGGACTTCCCCAGCGTAAAACCTCATTCTGCTTCCAAAGTTTTATTGTTGCAGTATCTATAAGGAGACTTCCCCTCTTCTCCATATTCTGGAGGGGCCAGGGTTTTCTAATAAAGATATGCAAGACAGAATGCCAGGTCATGAAAAATAGCTCATGATGATGGAATGATGAAATGATCTATTTAAAGCAGTGGCCCCCAACCTTTTGGGGACGGGGTCCATGGAGAGAGGTTTTTTTTGCAGCCTGGAGAGGGTGTGGTTTCACATGCTGCCTGTATCCTGTGGATGAGGCTTTACTTGGTGACCTGGTTGCTGGCATGCAGGGACCCCTGATTTAAAGGAAAGATAAATCCCATCCCATAAATCCCAAATTTTAATTTTTAATCATTGTTGTGTCTTGTGTTTTTAAATTGGCTGTACACCGCCCTGAGTCCTTCGGGAGAAGGGCGGTATAGAAATAAAATTATTATTATTATTATTATTATTATTATTATTATTATTATTATTATTATTATTATTATTATTATTATTATTATTATTATTATTATTATTATTATCTCCCGATCATTACATGCAAATCTCCACATAGCTTTCTTGGACAGGACATGGAAGCAGGTGGCCCTCAAGAATTCCTCAAAATCCTTTTGATTTCCCAGTTCTGCTTGGATTTCTTGCTGATGTCTTATCCAAATCTGCTTCAATTCAAAATCATAGGTGGGGCATATGCTGTGTTCTGCAACAAAGGGGGAAGATAGCTATGGTTGACAAACCATACTTAACAAGTCATCCTTAATGGTACTGTTGGAAGTTAAAACCCACCCCTCTCCTAGAAAAATGAAATATTTTAGGATATATTAAAAAGGCAGAATATTTCCCCTAAAATAGAAGTAGAAACTGAAGAGAAGCAGAAACTCAACCCCCCATCTTTGTTAATGGGCCATTAAGGCCTGGGCCAGTCTATTCTACATAACAAAAATCTACCTCCTTCAGGCAGAGCCATTTAATTGCCCTTCATTGCACCACCCAACAAGTTTAATGTGGAGAAAAGCAAGGTTTTACCCTTAGGCAAGAAAAACCAAAGGTACAAGTACGGCTTAGGCAAAACCTGGCTCAAAAACAGTAACTGCTAGAGAGACTTTGGTGTCCTAGTGGACAATCACATAAATATGAGCCAGAAGTGTGCAGCAGTGTCCAAAAAATGCTAATACAATCCTCGGTTGTATAAACAGAGGCATAGAATAAAAATCACGTGACGTATTAGTACAACTTTATAAATCCTTAGTAAGGCCACACCTGGCATACTGCATCCAGTTTTGGTTACCACATTATAAAAAAGATGTTGAGACTTTGGAAAAAGTGCAAAGAAGAGCAATTAAGATGATTAATGGCCTGGAGATTAAAACAGATGAAGAACGGTTGCAGGATTTGGGTTTGGCTAGCCTAGAAAAAAGGGCTAGAGGGGACGTGATAGCAGTATTTCAATATTTGAGGGGCTGCCACAAAGAAGAGGGGGTCAATTTATTTTCCAAAGCACCAGAAGGCTAGACAAGAAACAATGAGTGGAAGCTAATCAAAGAGAGAAGCAACCTGGAATTAAGGAGAAACTTCCTTACAGTGAGGACAATTAACTTGCCTGCAGAAGTTGTGAAGGCTCCAACACGGGAAGTAAAAACAATTAACCGGTGGAACAGTCTGCCTTCAAAAGTTGTGGATGCTTCATCACTGAAGGTTTTTAAGAAGAGACTGGACAGTCACTTGTCTGAAATAAGATCTGCTTGAGCAAGGGATTGGACTAGAAGACCTCCAATGTCCCTTCCAGATTCTATTCTAATTAAGATGAACTTTTGTGACTCAAACCAGAGGCAGACACAGCAAGGAGAGGCAAGAGGTTTGCACAGGCTTTCTTTGCAGTATTTTTGTTTGTTTGTTAGGAAAGTGATTATAATTTGGCTGTAGTTTGCTCTCCAAGCTTGTTTCAATTTAGTTTCTGAACGTTTTTTTACCAGACTAGGTAATATCAAGATTGTTTTGTCTTATTTATTAGTTTATAAATGTATTTTGTGCCAGTTTGGTCAGTTGGTTGGTTGTTTGTTTGGAGCTATATTTAAATTCTGAGCAGCTGATTGGTTCTCTTGTTGATTGGTTATTTCAATGGTCTGAGAACTGGTTTCATATATGTGTGTGTGTGTGTGTGTGTGTGTGTGTGTGTATTTGTTTTCTCAGATTTCCCGGGTGTTTGTATGTAGGTCTTTGGTTATTCGGGTCTTCTCCCACGTAA